CTCCCCGCGCCCGGCGGCGCCGCCGAAGCCAAGCGCGGGCATAAAACCTGGGTAAGTTCTTCTCTTTAAAATATTAAAAATAGATCCTCCGGCTCCATAGCGCTGCCGAGTGAGTCATTTCCAGACCGAATGCCTCGGTCTAACCGTTCCCCCCAGGAGACACAATCATTCTGAAAACGGGGGTGAAGGGAGAGTGATTTTTCTCCCCTTTTTCTGTAGATAAATTGAATTAGCGCGTAGCCGCGGCAAGAGGAGATGAGAGCTGTGAGTAGCCGGCTGCCTGCTTAAAGGAGCGAAGCGTAGCTCCATCCCTTTCTCTCCTCCCTCGGGCCTCTCCCCTGTGGTGATGCCACCCGAGTTGCCCCGACGAGCGCTCAGAGCCTCTCTGCCCTGGGAGAATTCACAGTGCTTTCCATTTTCGTGGACATCATCTACTTTTAAGTTCCTTCAACTGCAAAAGCCGTCCCCAGCAACCTTCTTCCCCGCGGGACACCCACCACTGCCACGCGTCGTGTCAGCAGTGACCCCAGTCAACACTGTTCGTGGCTGGCTGTGCTGAAAAGAATACTATTTTTTTTTCCGCCTTTTCCAGTCATATGATGATTTGTTCATGTAACTGGGCTGTCTCAACTAGAGGGATTTTTTTTTTGTTGTTTGTCAGCAACAAGTGCTGAGCGTATTTATAAGCAATGCTGCAGTTCTGTGGCGTGAAAGGTTTCAGTTACTCAGAACTCCTTGGTACCTGGATCAGTGTGCAAGAGCTGTTTGCATCTTGCATATGCTGCTGTGTGTGCGTGTGTGTTTAATGTGTATACCCGTAGATCTTACTTCTCGGTGAGGCATCACGCGCAGGGCACAGAAGCTGATGTGTAGGCTACGTAGTTCTCTTCTAAAACAGTTGCCACAGTCCAAACTCTGCACTGGTCCCTAATGGTATCGATAGATCAGGTGAGACAAGACACCGGGCTGAAACTTGGAAACCGCATCGCTAGGGGTGAAATCCTATTCTCTGACCCCTGTGAAGAACTTTGTTAGCATATTGGCAACTAAAAATGACCTATAGCTGAAAATATGTGCAGTCAGGTATGCCAGCTATTTCACAGCCCTGTGAAGGAGGTTAGGTTTGAGAACGTATTCTGCGGGAGCAACCCAAATCCAATGTCATTTCTATGTAGGTAGGTAGAGAATTGTGATGTAAAAGCATTTGTGTTCTTTTTTTTTTTTCCATTTAGATTCAATTTCTGCTATTAAAGCTATTTATATCTTACAGCCAAGAGAGACCATTGTGATTGACTGACCTTTCACATAGGGTGCACAGTGCTGAGAGATCCCTGCAGAAGGTTTGCACCTTTTCTTTTAGCTGTAATATGTAAGAGATCCACGAACTTGAAGGTGCTACCAAAGTACTGAACTAAATAAATAAAATATGAATCTCTTGTGTTCCAAAACACAAGAAAAAGCTGACTTCACATCCCAAGTAAATTAAAATTTCGCAGTAATCTGATACAATGTACGCTCCTGATGTACAGTGGCGTGGCCAACACAGGTTGGCCATAGGCAATGTATGGTGTTCTTGCTAAGATTTTAGTACCTTGGTCTTCTATAACATGTCAGGGGCTGGAAAATTCTTGGACTTGGGTTAAAAGACAGGTGCTTTTTGGTGAAGCTAGGAAGAAACTTTTCCAAAGATGGGTTATTCTGTGGTTGTCTCTTATGGGGGTGTCCTGAGTCTCTGATTGCGATAGCTGCCGAGTCAGGGAGGGTGCATTGCCTGGATGGTGCCTGCCAGTTGGCGGTGCCAGGGGCAGGCAGGGAAGTCCAAGCACACTCAAGCCCATATAGGAGTCTTTTTTCTGTGTCAATTTAGGAGTAATATTTCCTTTTGGCAGTTTTACAGCAGAGTTAAGGTGACAGTTTCACATTTGTCTTCAACCTTCAAGATAAAATTCTTTGTAATTAGTTTTATGCAGAGTGTTTATGGGCTGTCTGATGTCAGCTGAGACTGTGATAAGACTTCCAACGTTCACTTTCAAAGTTCATCTGGAACACAGGTAGTGTTTACTGACTCCTCAGTTCCTTCTGGAAGAATTTCAATTCCTTAAATTTCCAGCAACCAAAGGCACAGAATAAGCAAGATATTTAACCTTTTATTTGAGAAATAAGCTTCTATTATTATTGAAAGACTGGAGGAATGGGACTTCAATGAATCATCAAGGGCTTAGAAGTAGCAGGCAAATAAGTACTAGAATTGTATGCTTTTTGTGAGTCATTTTCAGAGTTCAGTTTTCATATGTGACTTTTCTAGGCGCCTGTAGTATTTGTGGGTTTTTTTCCCCGTTATGTCTTTTGTACTCATTGTTTCTGCTAATGTGAACTCAACCATAAATTTGCACTAAGTATGTCCTGGGTTCCAGTGCTTATTCAGTAGGGCATAACAACCCGTTCCTACTACATGGGGCTAAGTGTAACTCAGAGGATGGAAGATTGTGTTGAGGATTTTAGCAGAAACCCACAGCTGAGGGTGGGCTGTGATATATAAGCAGCCTATTTAACTGCCATGTTTTGTAGCCCCGGGGTTAAAAATGTGGGGTATACTTATGTTTTTGATAACAACATCAACAGGAATGTGAAAGTGAAAAACAAACAAAAGGGAATAAGTATAAAATGCAAGAAAGCATGAAGATGGTCATCATTCTAATTGCATCAGAGATAGTTCCTCAAATAATTGCAGTTGCTGACGTTTGATTTTGATGAAGCGTATCCTGCATGCTTTCTGATTAACATTCCTAGGAAATTAGACAGGTCATTACATTTAGACTGATAGGATTTTTTTTTTTTTTTCTTATGAAACTGAGTTCTCTCCCCATTCCATGCTTGTTGTGCCTGGCTGGCATCTTTAAGAAAGCATCCCTTTGGCTCTCCCTTGTTTGTTCCCCTCCTGGAACTTTATGACTTAGTTTGTGAATTTCACCACATGTAACCAAGGAAGGAAAGGTCGAAGAGGATAAAATTTCTCTGACCTTTGTGAAAATGTTTTTAGAGGCCATGCTGAAGGAAGAGCTCTTGATTGGGGTTAACCCCCTGCATGTGTGAAATTCGGAAGGGAGCGTGATGCGGGAGAGCGGGGATGTTTTAGTTCTGCTGCTCATGTAATTACTGAATATGAACAATTTACTTGTTGAGCATCTATGGCTTATATTCCTTTTAAATACAAACCAACAGCTTCTCTGTATGCTAAGCAAAACTGCTGTGATCTCTACCGACGGTTCAATGTACTTTGTAGTTTGTTTTGAATGAGCTAATACGTGTATTTCCTGAATTTTGCAGCAGATGCTTCTTGGGAGTTATTTGAAACAGGCTGAAGCTGCTAAGTTAGTTTCTGGGTTTGAAAACATGTTTTTCTACAGCAAAAATTTTGATGGCTTGCTCGTACTTCTGTCATTCCAGCAATACATTCCTGGCCTATTTTGCCCCAGTAGGGATGCACTTAGAAGTACATGTATTAAATGCTGTTCCCAGTGGTGGAAGGAAATAACTGTTTATGTGCATGTCATCTGTTTTTTCTTGTCCTCATGCTATAGCTTGTTCTCATATAGCTGTGCAGATTTAAAAGTCATTCCATTAGTCAACAGAGTTTAAGACAGGTAGGTCTGGGCCACTGAACTGGGGGACTGAGCTCCTTAGAGCTATTAAATTTTTAAAAATAATTTTTTAATTGCATTTTTAAAATAATTGTTTAAACTTTGCTATCAAATCAGTGATGGGTTTTAGAATGTAACAGCTTGAGTAAAGCCTTGCTGTGGAACTGGAGACAAAGCAATGGTGATTTTAACTGCTGTCTGAAGCAAGCTACATCTTGGTGGGTAAAACTCAAAAGAGGGATGCAGGTAAGATTGCTGCTTGAAAAATCAGTTCTGGCTGATGTGGATTAGGACAGCACTGCACTGAGTTTAATTTGAGAGGATGGTTACTGCAGCTGTTGTGGATACAACTTTTTTGGAATGCCTAAAAAACCTTAAGGCTTTCAGTTAATCAGAAAATTATTATTTCTCTCTGCTTTTCTCCCTTTTATCCCTTCTTCCTTTCTATTGGATAGGGTTCTTATTTAACCAAAGAGGTAAGTGTATTTTTTTCAGTCCAATCCAGTCCATCAGTTTTATGATTTTGAAACTCCACTATGTTTTTGCTTCTTGCCTTTCACAGCTAGGTTTTTGGTGTGGTAGCTGCTTATACGGGGAATACAATTTGTTTCAACCAGATTAAATCAGTTGCTAGTGCATCTAATTCAAATTTGTCTCTAGCTTCATCTGAACAGCTGAGTGAATCTAATGAGGTGTTCTCCTCTGTCCTCCACCCAAGCATTTCAGAGTGTTTTGCAAATATGTGGTGCCTCTTCATAGCTGTAACAATTTTCTCCATTTTTGAATGATGCGAGTGAAGTGAATTAAGTAATGTTTTTTAAATGACACAGAAGACCTGGGGCAGAGAACAAAATAACTTTGTTGTCTTAGATGCTACTCCTATATTACAGAACATTTATTTTTCTGTATGTTCTTTACTATAACCTGATATCTTTACTTCACATTTAAGTGGCTCACTCTGTGCCATTACTGATTTCTTACTTTTTTATGAGGAATTGTACTATCATGTATATAGATGTGAAGTAGCAGTCTTACTTCTAAGAGGCCGTCAACTCCAAAGGGGTTGCAATGAACTCTGAATTACAGAGAAGTCTCTCAGACTGAGATGGGATATAGGCAAAGGTTTTTCCCCCTCCTCTTCTCATATACCCTCTCATTCTAAGCAGAGTTTCACTCTGAGTTTCAGGTTTGCTTTAACCTCAGGAACTCAAAGCATAACTAAGTGGAAACCACTGAGTTTCTTTTCAGATGTTACGTGGCTCTGCTATCGAAGCCAAGTTAGATCTGTTTGTGAATTTGTTTTCAGATGTATTATGAATAAAGGCATCGTGTGGGTCCAGTTTGAAGAGGGAATATATAGAAGAGGGGGGAGGAAGGCAAGGATGCTGGGGTCTGATTTGTGGAGATGGG